GTGTGCAGGAGGCAGCTGATCAATGTTTCTCTCTCATCGATATTTCTAACTCTCTATCCCTCTCCCTTCCTCTCTGTAAAAAATAAAAAAAATATATTTTTTTTAAAAAAAGAAACAATATTTTGGAAACCCCTGTAAGCACTTTTGCCACCATATTTTTCATAGTTGGTGATTTTGCTTTCATTTGCTAAGCCAGAGGGCAAGGCAGAATCATCTTGCTCCTGTGGCTGGTGCATCAGCAGGAAGGGAGACAAGCCTTTGCTCACATCTCGAGAGCCAGTTAAGTGCTTCAGAAACAGAGGACCCAGCGGGTGTGAGCTGAACGCAGGCACCTGAATGAAGGTCGCCGCCGTGGGTGAATAAAGTCACACACTTGGTCTTTGGGCCCTTTGTTTTCCTGGCCTATTATAGATGGGTGTTTTGGGTTTTTTGTTTTTTTTTTCCATAACTGAATAATTTGAAGACTTTTCCAGAAGTAAACAATGTTTTCCAACTAAAGCAGTTCTTTTTAGAAACTCACTTGGAACAAACTGAGTTCTGTTCACTTTCTTTTATTAGGCAAACAATTTACATATTATTCTGAAAATGAAGTCTGCAAACAAGATTACTTTATTAAGTCACCACCTCCTCAGCTTTTCTCCTCAGCAGTAAGTACTCGCTAGGATTTTGACAGGCCTCCCACCAACCTCCTGAGCATTTTTTCAACCCTTCCTCTTCCTCTGAGATTTAATTGAAATGCAAAATCTTTTCATTTTTCAGCCCTCTTGGAAAAAGAGGTTTTTTGTTCTGACAAGGAGTGGGGAGAAGGGCTTTAGTCTTTCCTATTACAAAGACCATCATCCCCGAGGTTCCATTAAAATAGATGGGTATGTATCCAATTGTGCAAAAGTTTTTAACTTTTGTTGCATGCAAATTGAAACTGAAGTCATTGTTGAAAGAAGCAAGGCCTGCGCCAAAGGATTAGTAGTCAGGGCACATGCCTGGGTTGTGGGCTCTCTACCCCTGCAAGAGGCAGTCTATCAATGTTCAGTCTCACATCCATGTTTCTCTCTCTCCCCTCCTCTCTTTAAAAAAAGAATCAATTTTTAAAAAGGAGCATAATATCTGTTGCCAAAAAGAAACTAAACTGGGGAACATATGAGTAGAAGATAGCTAAATAATTATTCCATATTGTACATTCTAGTTGGTAAATTATTCATTAGTATTTAGTTACAAAAGGCATTGATGCACTTAATTTATAGATGAGATAGAGCAGATGAAATTACCATTTCATAAAGCCCAGATAGGTTTTAAAAAATACTGAGATTGAATCTTTTGTCTTTAAGGAACTATGTACCAAAAAATTAGAAACCATGATAATTGTGGGATCAAGGATCCAAGTAAAATAGGAATTTTTGACTTATGTTTTATGCTGAACAAAGTATTTGATGACCCAGATCTAAACTTATCTTCTAAAATGATTAGGTAATTTTTAAAACATTGAACAAGCAAACCTCAAGTTTTACTCCATTTGAATCCTAACATGAAACATTAGTCAGTCAGTGTTCTTTCTAATTTTGTGTGTGTATGTGTTTGATACTTTATGTCTATATCTAACAGAAATTCCAGTGTAGACGTTGGCATAAGTAGCCATGAAAAAATGCGAACCGTACAGAAGATGTTTAAGTGCCACCCCGATGAGGTGATGTCCATCAGGACCACCGACAGAGAGTACTTCCTCATCGGTAGCGACAGGTGAGTCGTCAGATAACAGTGTTGCCCGGGTGCCAAACACCAAGCAAGGTGAGTCATCAGATAACAGTGTCGCCCAGGTGCCAAACACCAAGCAAGCAAACAAAACCATTTTAAAGCAGTGCACAATAAACATGCTTAGAACAGAACCCCTCCCACACCCTTCCACACCACCTTGGCAGTCTTCAGTATTGCAGTATTGGTTAAAATCCCTTGAAAAGTCACGCTGTTCCTTTCCTAGGGCTGCCATAACCAGGCGCACACACTGGAGGGGTGGGGAGAAGCTCAGAACAACGGAAGAGTCTATTTTCACTGTTCTGGAGGCTGAGTCCCAAATCAAGGTGCCTCGGGCCACGCTCACTCTGAAGTCCCCAGGGAAGACCTGTTCCAGGCCTCCTGGTACATCCATGGCTCGTGGGAGCGTAACTTCAGTCTTCATGTGGCATCCTCCCTGTGAGCATGTCTTGGTGTTCAGTTTCTCCCTTTTATTATGACACCAGGCATACTGCCTTACTTCAGTATGACCTCATCTTAGCTAATTACATCTGTAACAGCCCTACCCAATTTCCAAATAAGGTCATATTCTGAGGTCCTGGGAATTGGAACCTCAATATATGAATTTTTTTTTTGGGGGGGGGACACACAATTCAACCCATAACAGTCACCATCACTCCAGATGCAACCCATAACAGTCACCATCACCCCAGATGTGTCCCCTGTAAAAGAAGCCACTACACAGACATCTGTCCAAGCTACATGTATTAGGGTGGGGGCTATGCTTGTCCCTGAAGGAGTCCTCAGTTTTAAGAAGGTGCCTTGTGGGTTCTTCGTGGATGATTATCTGCTTGACAGGGAGGCCAAGGTGGAAGAGGAAGCCATGCAGAGGGGGCAGCGAATGCTAAAGCCAAAGTGGGAAGAACCTTGATCTGCTTCGGATCCACCCACAGGCAAAAAGCTTTCTTCTACATTGTCATGAGCATCAACAGAAAAGAAAATGGGATTTATAGGAACTTTTCAGCACATTCTTCATAAACACACACATTAAAGAGAGGCACACCTGGCTGGCTACACAAAAAATGGTGCCGACAGGTACCGGGCTCGCTTAGAACACAAAAGAAATCAGTATCAAAGCAACAGCTCTGAACCCTGTGATTACTACTGTCATTTTCCCCTTTCCCTCCCATTTCTCTGAGCTTTCCTCACAGAGGCGGCACGAGGGTTAATTCTAGTGTGTGAGTGTGGAGGAGGTAAGGAGCCAGGGGGTCATTCAAGCTACTTAGAAAAAAATCCTTATTTCCCCAGTACCTGCTCCCACTGCCTGTTCCAACCTTCACAAAAGAATCCTCCTTCAGTTCAAAAGGAGCGAAGGCGCGATTGTTGCCACATGCCAGCTGCAAGTTTATTCCTATCAACAGGGAGAAGATTAAAGACTGGGTCTCGTTCATGTCATCATTCTGCCGGGATATGAAAGCAGCACGCCCGAATGCAGAGGTGAGTCTCCATCGCTCACAAAATGACAGGGCACCTGAGCACAGCCCTCCTTTCACCAGGAAACAATGGGAGCTTTCCCCCCTCCTCCTTGGCAACTGGCATTAATACAAGGAATAAATGAGAAAATGTACATCCTTGTTATTTTTATGATTAACAACGGGGGAAAATACTTTTGTGTTTTGCGCTAAAATAGAGGCACTTCAGATTTCCATTATTGAGGTAGGAGGGGTGAAAATTAACTGTGACATTTTTTAATAGTAGCCGAAACAACAGTATTTTCCCTCATTGTTATTCCAGGTACATAGCAGCCACCTTCAGAATGACTAAGTCTAGGGTGGTTTCTATACAATGCTTTTCCTTTCCCTTGCATTTTCAATATAATGTCTCTCTAATGTAAGGGCTAGTGGCTTGAAGTTTTTTTGTTGACTTCCTAAGAACCTTTGGTAATTTGCACAAGTCCTTTTGGAGGGCAGACCTTTATTCATGAAACATTGGCCTCCAGGTATTGTTTTAACATGTTTTCTAGGTTGTTTTGTGCTTCCAACAAAAGCTGAAGCCAAGGCAGAAGGGAAAACATGGTGTTTCTACAAACTGACTCAAATTATTAGAACGAAGAGGTGGAAGGGGGTGCAGAGAGCCATAGGGTTGAAAAGACAGGTTGAGGGAAGTTCGAGGAGTGTCTGGCGGCCATGCTGAGAGTCCTTGAGGATTTGGAAACAGGAGGAAGACAAGATCACCCCATGTCTTAGTGAGAGAACGCTGGCCAGCGGAATAAATGTTAGTGGTGAAAGACCAGAGGCAGGGAGCCCAGGGACGAGGCTGTTGCCTCATTCCAGACAAGAGGTCCATCGTGCCCTGATTCCAGTATCCTTTTTCATCAGCAGGAGACACTCTCATTGGCTGCTAAAAGGCCCTCTTCAGACCCCAGCCCTCTCCTCGGTTATTCCAGCACATCGGAGGCCGTCGGCTCCACCACATCAAGAAATATTCTTCCAGACATGGTAACCGGACTCGCCCCACCTCTCTCAGGACGCCCTGGCTGGGAGTCTGCTGGTGCTTCAAGGGTCTCTCCAATGGATTTGATCCCTTCCTAACCCACCATAAGAACGATTCTCATCCCCAGTACTTAACCTATATGTAGTCTGTTGGCTATACTATAGATGAGCCTAACTGCTTGCCCGCCTACCTCTAAATGGATTCATTCATTTTGGATGCTCCTCAATATACATCTGGGTATACTGGAAGAACACCCCCGCCCCCACCTCCCACTTTCACCTCCCCTAGCTAAACCAAAGGCTGGTTAGTAACCTCTTCCTTCCTTTCACACATAGGGCACAGATTATCTCTGCAAAAAATTGCCAAAACACCACTTGATTTCCTGCCATATCATCTGTGCTCCTCAAGGCAAAATCAGAATTTTTATTTACTTCATTTGCCTAAATCAGTCTTGCTTGTGTGTGTGTGTGTGTGTGTGTGTGTGTGATTTCATCTTAATTTCTAATGAAATTTAGTTGAAGAAAAAATACATCTGTCCCCTGGAAGTGATTTGTAATTGTCCTCTCAGCTCTCTTGCATTTGTGATCTTCCCAGCTTTAGATATTATTAAAAAATGGGTTGAGTGTTTTCTTCTTCTGCCACAAATACTATTTTGTCCCTTAGAGATGTAACCATGGACTTCCCCTTCTCCCTGGGGACCAGACACGTCTTAATATGGCATAGCCTCCTGTTTTTATCTAGTTGGAAGCTCTCCAACTATTTTAAAAGCTTTTTGTGGCTTATCAAGCTCACCAAACCAAAACCTCACTTGGTGTTTGTAGGGAAGGTGACAGGAAACAGGGTTGGGAAGACTAATGGTTTTTAGTAAATGCCTCTTGCTTTCCACTCATGATGCTACCCCTTCTCCCCAAAGATAATGTTATTGGCCATCTCGCCTTTTCACACTATGTATTCAGTCCAGTGGTTTTTATTAGTTCCAGCTAAGAATACCATCTGCATTGCTGGGATTTATTGTTGTTTTTGCTATTGTTGTTGAAATTAAATTAGATCCCTTCTTCATCCCCAGATCAGCATGATCTGGCTCCATGAGCTTGGAGCTGGATAAATGGACACAACTTCAATGCATCTATGTTTTTCAAATCACTTCCCTTCAAGGACTGCCTGGAGAACATCCCAGGTCTTTTTAAAAAACCCCTGCTCTAAGGCATTGCTCTTGGAAGAATTGAATTGTACCAACTATTTCCCTGCCATGCAAAGCCGCTACTTGTATCTTGTATGTATTGGGGAGGGAAGGCAGTAATTGGTTGAACCTAGATCACCCTGAAGCCTGTAATTCATACTGTCACATGAACCAGCACTACCACATTGCATTGCTATGAAAACAATAGGAGTATGTGAGCAGAACACAAAAGAGAAATATTGAGCAGGAAGAGGAAATTTGCAATGTTTTAACTCTGGACTAATAATTACCTTCTTAGATGCCTTGAGTGAAAACTAGAAAAAAGATGGGGGTGGGGGACTTTGGCAGAGCTTAGTGACTTAGGATGCCACCCACTGAGAGAATCACTTGTTTTGAGTTACAGATCCCAATGGTAGAGAAAAGCCCGAAAGATGAGCTCATATGTTCACGTTGTCAGGGGTGACCCAGACTCAAGAGGCATCTCCAGGTTGTGTAGGATTCTGGATGTAACCTTGGAAGACCCTCTGATCTTATCAATCCAATTCATTTTTATGGCTTTCCCAGAAAGCATGTGGTTTAATTCTGTTCTCTTGCGAAGAAAAAGCAAAGCATTCATTCTGTCTTCATCTCTTTTTTCAGCATTTAATGGAAAAAAGTCCTCCAGGACTCAGACAAGCTCATCTACTACACGATTTCTTGCCAGAGACTACTCAGGATACAGAAGAAGAGAGTCATTATATTAGTCCTCGAAGTATTCTTTTAGAGGTAACCCTTTCCATTTATTAATCGTTTATCCCTTCTACAAATATTTGCCTGAGCTCCTGCACTGTTCCTGAGGCACTAGGCTGGTTAAGTAAAACACTGAATCAGTTAATCAGACATGAGTGATGTACTCAATGTTCCTATTCAACCAGTTGAATAGGAACCAACCATGATACAAGATGAAAGAGCTCCATGCTGAAGAAAGATGTTTATAAAATGCCCAGAGTGCACAAGGGGTGGGAGGCAAGGAGACTGACTTCCAGAAAGAAGACGAGGGAACATTTCAGGGAGATGACATATGACTTCACTTGATAGGTAAAATTTGGACTTGGGGGTTGACTTGGGGAGACTTTCTGCATTCTGGGAAGAAACAATACTATGAACACAGGTCCTTGGGTGATAAATGGTTTGGTGTGTATCAACTAGTCTATTGATCTACTAGAAGCCCCTACTGAGTGCCTTCTGTGTGCTAGTCACAGTGCTCTACTAGGCATGGAACTTATATCACTCTGCCCTCAGAGCTCACAGCCCTACTAGTTATCACATGACAATGCTACCCAAGAGGCATGGTCAACGAGCTCTGGAACCACTAGAAAAAGCAGAGTTTTTCTCTCCCCTGGAGTCAGGGAAGGCTTCAGAGACAATAAGCCACTTGATAGGTACACAGTAAATAGTTCAGTTGGCTGTAACTTAGAGTGAGTGAATGGCATAGTAGGGAATATGACAGAAAAAAATGAGCCAACCAGGATGGGGCGTTGACTTCATTCTGCAGTCAGCACAGAGGCTGTGGTGGCCTCTGAGATGGGCAGTGGCAGAACCTAAATTATCTTCTAGTACTATTGACCCAGAGCTATAGTTGAGGTAGATGATGGGCAGGCACTTGGGTTGCTTCGCTATCTTGGCTATTATAAATAATGCTATAATGAACACAGGGGTGCATTTATTCTTTTGAATTAGTGTTTTGGGTTTCTTTGGATATATACCAAGAAGTGAAAGCTAAAAGTCCATTTAAAAAAAATTAAGTGCAAAACTGTGAAGTAGAAGTTCAAAGAAGGGAAAGATTGGCAGTGGCTGAGGTGGTCAGGAGGGGCCATGGGACCTCAGCCAGGTCTGAACACACTTCATTAGGCAGAAGAGAAAATGGGTATTCCTGGTAAAGAAAACAGCATGAAAATGGGCACTAGAAGGGCATTGGTAGATATGTAGTGGGAAGACTGGCTTGACTGGAATGAACTCTTCCAATTGTGGGTTGATGCTTCATTTTTTAGGTGGGCAATAGAAAGCCCGTAGGGTTTTGAGCAACCACTACCCCAAATGACTGCCTTAGTTCTGAGGGGTTTGTTGAGAAGCTCTCAAGGGTCTGTAAAACCCTTTATGGACTTTTGAAGCAACTTGGGTCACCTGTGATTATAGTAGCCTGAGGCCAGCTCTGTATCAGAGTCTTTGACCCAGCCCGGTGACCTGATTTCACAGTGTCACTGGTTGGGGGAAAGAATTCATGTCATTAAGTGCCTGCCAATGAAACAGGAAAATCAATAGCAATTTAGTCCAATAAAACACTTGCGACAGGGGCATGGGGGACCCAGGAGAAGAAAATGGACTCTGAGTCTGCCAGAGCTTTACTGGATCAGTCCCTTAGAACGAGCACCGCTGTGCATCCAATGGTGGATGCATTTCCAAGTTTAGGGCCTAGAGCCATCATGGACACCTGGCTTATTGGTAGACTTGCATCCTTACATTTATTCCTCTTGTCTATAGTTGGATAATATTATTGCTTCCAATGAATCTGGTGAACCCATTGAACTTGGTAGTCCAGACCAGGTCTCTGAGAGACTTGAGCATCATTACATGTCAATGAAATCCTGGTAAGTAAAACTATCATATTTTAAAAATTGGTTTGGGCTAATGTATGGTTACAGAAAATCACTATTGAAATGTTAATACAAAAGCATTACCATAGGCCAAATTCAACACGTTCAGTGAACCTCAAAACAAGATAAAGTGAGAATTGGCTTCTCTCCCCACAGAAAACCATTAATGACATCCTTGGGACTTTTTTCTGTTTCCTGAGGAAGTGATTTTCTAGTTTGCATTTACATCTCTCACACTCTCACTTCTGTCTCCCAACCTTCTCAAGGTGAAGGGTTATTTTAACTCCATATCCACTTTTAGATGGAGAGTTGGTTGGATTTGATTCTGTGACTGTGATGTTGATGGTTGGACATACTTCAACATCTTGTTAATGTTCACACAACTGTTAGGTGCATAGATGTGAAAGTTGTCAATAGATATGTTAAAAAAGGGTTTGTGTTCACTTCTTATACTCTAGTTTGTTCAAAGAGACAACCGATGAGTCTGCTGGTAGCGAAGAGGAATCCCAGGCCCTTCCAGAGGCCCAGAACAGGGAGCTTCATCTGCAAGAACAAGGTTCCAGGAGTGACTCTTGCCTTCCACCTGCCAAAACAGAGGCCCAGACCATGAATGGCAAAAAGGGATCGACCTCACTAACTGTTGTGCAATTGTCCATATTAATCAAGTAAAGTTCTGATTTCTCAAACTTTGTGGGCCCTTAGAGCAAGGCAGCCTTCCTTTTTTACTCAGAATTCTAATTTTAAAGAAATTCCTAAAAAATCTCAAAGTCAGCCAAGAATCTGACCCACTTCCCCTTGTCACTGACGTGGTGGCCAAGCAGTGTGTAAAAGGGCTGGAAGCTGAGCTCCCGGGTGGTGGGTGGCATTTTCAAATATTTTGTAAAGATTCTTCATTGGCTAGCCTCTCAGGCCCTGGATCACACTGATCTGGGGGGCATATCACCCAGCTTTTACTGTTAAAATTTTGGGCATGCAAATCATAAGAGGCCTGGTTCTATACTACTAGTAGGAGGAGAAGGAAAGGGACATTTAGGTGTAGTGATGCCAAGGGCATTTGATGAGATTGTTCTCAATTTTAACTCTTTCAGTGTCTTCTTCATTCCCAGTGGAGAAGTGTGCAAACTGACCTGATATGGACAATTATATAATCAATTTAGTCCATTTTTTCTCCCTTCTCATGGTCTCCCACCCACCACCACATCCCAAGAGGGGTGGGGGAGGGCATCTGTGGGTACTTTTCAGTAACTTAAATTCATATTCTTCTCTAAATATGTTGGACGATCTTTAGCTGGAAAAGGCCATCTCCTATGTAGGAGGCCAGAGTGTACCCAGAAAGTACCGTTCAGAGCCAAAGACAGTTGCCTGATTTGACTTTTACAAATGTTTTCTCTCATAGTAACATTCCTGAAGAAAGCCACTTGGAGAGACTGAATGTGTTCCTTTCTCCTCTCGACGTCACCAATTATTTGGGTCTCACAGAAGCTGCAGGACTGATATGGTGGGTCGGAGATTGGAGGGTTATTGATTATAAACTCGGTTGGGAGATATGAAGGCAACACTCAAACTTTGAAACAGTGTTGGGAGATATGAAGGCAACACTCAAACTTTGGGAGATATGAAGGCAACACTCAAACTTTGAAACAGTGTAGGTGGCAAAACTGCCTGGAAAGCTTGGACTGTTCTTTTGCTGTTGTAGCAGGTCTTTGACTGATGCCGAAATAAGGGAATCGTTGTGTGGGAGGGTCAGCAGGAGATGGGTGGGTTTAGGAGGACCCAAAAGTCCAGGAAGGAGCAAATTTCTGACCTTTTTCAAGGTGAGGAAAAGTGGGATGGAATACATACGTCTAAGGATATTATCCCGATGAATGAGCAATGAGTATTTGTGAATGAACGAAGTTAGTTTAGCCGACAAGAATCTAAGGTCTAAAAGGAAAAGACGTATCAGGGTCTAGACTTCCAGACACCAGGTGAAAACCTGCTGGTCAGGGACAGACACAACAGACCCTGTGACAGAGAGTTTTCTTGAAATAATCACAGTTCATTTGATTCTAATTCTCTTAAAGACTTTGTAATTCATTCTGATGGAAGATTACATTTCTACAAGGGAAGAAAGTCCTTCAGTGTAAATAAAACGTTTCACACCAATTGCCTTACAGGTTCTATAAGGGGGCAGGAATCACAGCCTTGCCTTTTCCCACATCGCCCACAATCTGAGGCTCAATAAATACCTGATTAAAACTGTGGCCCTCTCTGTGCCTGGGATTTCTCATGCATTAATCCATTTACAGTGTTTGTTCATTAGATGTTCGTAGTGTAATCATTATGTGTTCACTTTCAGTGAATATGTACTTACTGAGCACCTTTTGTTTACTTGGAGTTATGGGGATATACACAATTTTTTAAAAGGTGTTAGTGCCATATTTCTGGTGAAAAAGACAGCCACATAAACAAGTAAATATAAAACGCATTTATTTTAATATACAATAAGTGAGTGCTCACACAGTGCAATAGAAGCCCAGGGGTGGGAGAGGAGCAATTAATTAGAGTAAGGGAAGTGGAACGTAGGAGGGCATTGTAGAGGCTTTGGGGGAAGGGGAAGGCTCCCACAGTGGGGAAAGAGGAAAGAATATTTCAGACAGAAAAAGGATTCAATTACTTTGGATGTGGTATAACAAAGCTAACGAAACTAGTGGTAGCAATGATGGGATAGATTAGAGTGAGGGACCCCATCTGTGTCCCCATCCGTGTCCTGCCAGTGAGTGTGGTCTCATGCTTGTGTCTGACGCTGTATTCCCCTTGCAGTGTGGCTTCGTGGAAGGGACCCCCACGCCTGGGATGCTTATTTTTTCACGGAGACCACCTTTTGGCCGTGAATGACCTAAAGCCCCACAGTCTGGAAGAGGCCTCCCTGTTTCTCAGCCGGTCCATCCAGAAGGAGGTGAGTCCTGCTGACCGGCCCTGCCCAGGGCAAGTCAGTGCCAGAAGGAACAAGATCAAGGTCTTAGATTGAGTTTGAACCGTACTCTGAACACAAATGACTCTTCAATCCTCAGCCACCATGTGTAAATAAGAGAATAAGGAGTGTAAATAACACTTCCTATAATACGTGTAAATAACAGAAAGTTATAATAGGGCCCTTTCATGTGAGGTAATTTGGGAGAGAGCACTGGACTAGGAGACTGAATTGCTGGTCAGGACCTCAGACACATGATGTGGCATAAAGAACTTGCATTGGAACCAAACTGGCTCAAGGTTTGCATCCCGCGCCCTTTAATCATTATTTTTTTTTTTGGCCTCAATTTTCTCTAATTTAGTGATAATATTAGTTATTGGTGAATGAAATGAGATAATATATCTAACGTGCTTACAACAGTGAATGGTACCTATTAAGTGCTCAGCCATGGTTCTGCCTGTTAGTACAGTTTCCATGTTATTCATGCCTTCCCTTATCCGTTTTTATTTCTGACGAGCCACATGACCTTGGGAAACACTTCCTTCTCTGGGCATCAGTTTCTTCTCTCCAACATGGGAGAGCTGGTTTTCAACTGTGCTTCTTGGCCCCTGAAAATGACAGGAGAGGAGGGGAAGGGGACGGTATGGAGCTTCAACCAGAGCAATCTACATTTACCAGTTATCTTTTTTATACGTTGGACTTTCCTGTTAGCTCTCCTTGAAGAAACCATTACTTTTTTTTTTTTTTTGCAAACCACTGTACAGGATGATCTCTCGAATTTCCTCCAGCTCTGAGAGTTTATGATTCTGTGGGTCATATCACATGTAACCTTGTTGGTTAGACAGATTGTACCACTTCTATTATCTAAATGGGAAACCAGTAAGATTGTGTGAGTTGTCTAAGACACATAACTAGTTAGTGGAGAGCAAGGATTCATTTGTCCATTCATTCGTTCATCCATTCACTCACTGGCTATTTATTAAACATGTACATATGCTGGCTGTAGGTCCTCGAGCTACAAAAGAGGCCTCAGCCTGAGCTTAGGGAGCTCACAGATGAGTGATAAATCAGGCATCTTACGTGCTAGCTATGATCCAGTGTGTGCCTTGAGATGACCAGAGAGCCATGCAGTGCAAAGGGAGAATGGAGTCAATCTATTTGAGGGAGGCCAGAAAGGTGTCTCAGAGAAGGCTGTGTTGGGCTTGCGTTTCAAAGACTATAGTAGGCATTTGTGCGGTGGAAAAAAAGGTAGCTTTCAGGGGCCCGGTCCAACAATTGGGTACCAATATTTCCTCTGCCAGACACCCACGCTGGGGCCTAGGGCTCAATGGAATCTTCTGAACCTTTTGGAAAGTTACCAAACAATGCTCTGAATCAGCTTCATCAAAGCCAAGAGAAGGAGTTTGGCCTGGGGGCAGGTCCAAGGAAAGGATGTTTGCCTGGTGCCACCGACTGCAGTTATCAAGGCTGCCTTTCTGGATTGTGGAGTCCCCTGCCTGGGAGGGGGCAGCAGCATTCCTCCTGTGCTCCATCTGCCTGACCCCTTTTTCTGGGGGGACAACCAGATGCCTCTGAGAAATCTGGGGTACTCACCAGCATGATTATCCGGATAAAAAAAAAAAAAAAAAAAAACAACAAAACCCTTCCTTCCCCACCCTTACCATTCCTGGCCAGTTTCTCTATGTGAAAATGGCTATCCAGTCCTTTTTAAAAATTCAAAGTTCTGGCCGCTGGAAGAAAAAGAAAGTTGGAAGAGGGGAGATGTGGAGGCAAAGGCAGGGCAGCCAAGGGCCGCTATTGTTTTAAGCACCTGAACGAAGCAGATCGCCCCTCCTTCCTTGAGCGGACTCATGTGGGAGGATGGGGTGGAGCTGGATAAAGCCAGTGAGAGGAGAAAATGTGAGATTTTCAATGGAAGGGGAGGAGATGCTAGATTTTGCAGGAGACACATCAAACTTCAATTTTCTCCCCATTTTGTCAGGGGCTTGTTCTGGCTGGTGGTGTCATTTCTGGTCTTTAGCATCCAGAGGCTTTTTAATTCTTGGTACAAAGGGGCCCATCGGGCACCATTGATGCCATTTAGGATCTGCCCTAATGGCTCCAGACCTTGGATGCCAGACAATAAAACTCCACCTTCCACCTGGACATATAAGTCCTCCTGCCCTCCTCTGATTGTAGTTCATCACAGGACTTTTTGTTCAAAACCTGCTTCGAAGGGTGTGAATGAGGACATACTGAGAACAGTCCTGAGGACAATCTTCAGTCATTTAATTATTTTCTTTCTTTTGTTTTAGAAAGTGAAACTCACTATAGGCCGGATCCCAAATTCCGAGAAATTCCACGCTATAGACTGTACATGCTCCTTAAAATACCAAGACGTTGTACCTTCTGAATTGGAAAAGTCTGAACTGGAGAGGGCACTGAAGAGGAGCCCAGCCGTTAGAAAGGGTCATCAGAAGAGAACTGGAGAGTAACATGTGGGACCCACCCAAGGGGTGGGGATAGGACCCGGACTCCGTACTGGACTCTGCCACTTAACACTGTGTGAGGCGAGGCAAGCCAGCACACCTCTCTGACTTCCCACATCTGCCTCTGTACAATGGGACTAACTACGCCCTCGCAGGCAATTGCATCAGGGGCGTGAAGAGGGCCAAGTGGGATAAAGACTACGGGACATAGTGAAACTAGGAGGCCTTATCTCAGACTTTGTTCCAAACAGCGCAGACAGAGATTGGGTAATTCCCTCACTGAGAATGTGCTGTGCGCTCTGTGAGGTCACGGTCCACACAATCCCTTCTTTGTTAGGGAACATGCTGTTGGAAATACTCATTCCGGGAAGGCAAGAATCCCGAGAGAGATGTGATATCATTCAGCCTTCCCAACACTTCCTGCTACTCATCATGTCTGTGGTCCAGAACGCTGACACAAATTACAACACACACACACACACACACACACACACACACACAATAAAGAAGAAAAGAAAAATAAACAGAATGCTGAGACAGAGTGGCCTCTAGAATTCAATAATTATCTTGCTTTTTTAAAGACCCAGTAACTATGTTAGAAGTTAAAGCAGTTTTAGGTCATATCCAGCAAAGACCTGCTTGCTCTCTAAATAAGAGAACTACTTAGCACTTCTAAGTTTGGAAGGTCTTAGCTAATTGATGCATTAACTAATTGATCCTGGACGGCCAAAAGAACCCAATCTTTTTTTCATACGTAGGAAAACAAAGGCAGAGAGCCAAAGGACTAACCCAGCCTGGGCATGGTAGAGCAACAGGGGGCTTCAGAAAAGACAGGGTGGGGAAAAAGTAGGTTTACAATTGTTTGTATAGAAAACAGTACAATAATTAATAAATAATAAGACAAGAATAAACTCAGTTGGGAGTTTGGCATACTCCTACTGTAAACCTACGTTGCCCACCCTGTATGTTTCACCAGCTGTGATTTTGCACGGGAAGAAATCAAGGCCTCGAACGTTTAATGATCTACTGCCTTTGTGGCTCCCAGTTTCACACCTGCTAGTGGCAGAACCAAGAATCTAAAACCAGCTCTGAGAAGCAGGTGTCCTGATCCCCACTTTGTATTTGGATTTAGGTTTGAAAAGACCTTCAGCACATAGAAGAGACATTCAAATACAGTTCATTTTCTGTTAATGAAATCTTTACCTAATGACCAAGGATTTGGCAGGATCTCAGAGCCATTCATTCTCAGTATCAACTCGGGCTAGATGGTTCTGGAAAACGAAAGGTTTAAGTGAACTTTGCACTCACAGGTCGAACTCTGGAGCTGGCCTGCCTAAGTTGGCAGCCACTAGCCACATGTGGCCTTTTACATTTAAAATTAGGTAAAAGTTAAAATTTAGTTTCTCGGTTGCACTAGCCACCTTTGAAATGTTCAGTAGCCCTATGTGGCAGGTGGCTACAGCATTACCCAACAAAGAATACGTCCATCCTCATGGAAAGTTCCAGAAAACAGTGCTGCTCTAGAATGTTCAACTTCCAAGAGGGGAACAGGTCACATTTGCCTCGTTTAAAAGCATTATTCTATTTTGATAATGTTTCCAAATAAAATATTCACATCAATGATTTTGGTAGCATATTTTTTTGGCAGGGTCAAATCTGATTAACTTAAAACCAAGCTGTGGGCCTTTTAAATATAAGCCTTGCCTTAGCCGGTTTAGCTCAGTGGATAGAGCGTTGGCCTGCGGACTGAAGGGTCCCAGGTTCGATTATGGTCAAGGGCACATGCCCAGGTTGCAGGCTCGATCCCCAGTGGGGGGGGTGCAGGAAGCAGCCAAACAATGATTCTCTCATCACTGATGTTGCTATCTCTCTCTCCCTCTCCCTTCCTCTCTGAAATCAATAAAAATATTTAAATAATAATAATAAATACAAGCTGTTTTCCCAACAATTAAGGGATTTCTCGGGAGAGTCAGTATTGACTTATGAGCTGTTATCAGGATGCAGAAGAAATATAAGGTCTAAAACTCTTTAACAAGAGCCTATGACATATGGGGAAGAAAAAAATGAGCACGCCAAGGTCTCATTTACCTGCTGTCATCTGAGAAGGCACCATTCTGTAAGCTTGATTTTTAAACTATGTTCACTGTAATCTTTCTGAAATGTGTCAACACGTTCTTGCCTGCCTTCTCAGGGTCAAGGCGATGGGCATGATTTCACCACACTCGTAAGTATTCCGTATGGAGGACTGTTGCCCCCTCCACCAATGATCCCATACTGCTTCTGTTTATGCTGCAGGCCGGGAAAGCAGATGATGCAGCTTGTAGACACACGTACACTATGAGTGTGGGTATAAGAGGGTTCTTGAGTAAAGCTCATTCATTTCTGGTACAGGGTTTCTGTGACATTGATTTGGGTGCACAGTTATCTTGATGGTGGTGTTGGTGGTACAGTCATTTATGTGTATGCCTCTTGGTTCTCAAGAGTGTTCTGGATAGGTGAGACCACTAGAAAAATGATTGGGAGCCAAGTAACGCTACTATATAAAAAACTAGAAAAATTAACTACCATAGTGTGTAATGATAGAGGAGTTTAGAGAGGAGAGAGATCGTGGTGCTCATCATGACAAAGTCAGGTGTAATGATAGAGGAGTTTAGAGAGGAGAGAGATCGTGACAAAGTCAGAGAGCACACACCACTGAATCCTACTACAGCCTTGCACAACCAGGGCTATCACTACACCCATTCTTTTGGATGGGGAAGCTCGAGCCCAGAGAAGTTCAATACCTTGCTCAAGGCTACAGCTAGGGCATGACGGAGCCAGAATTTAAACCAGACGGTTGCCTTTGGAGGCCACATTGAACACTTCCTGGAAGAGACGGTGATTTGAGCTCTAGAGAACAGTCCACAGGGGGCAGTGATGCAGACAGGAGCCAGCACGGAGCCTACTTCCTAGGGAGAACAAGGAATGTGGGCAATGACTCAGCTTTTTCACATCTCTGATTTCAGTAATACCCATTCATTTTCTGGGCCTCTTGCCCAGGAGAACCAACGAAGCCCACACCTTATGTTCTAGGAACCAAGGGAATTCTGTGCAGGCTCTTGTTATGGCTCATTAGCATGTTTTACACCCCTCCTTTTGCATGGCCATCTGGCTTCATAAAACACTCCAGTTAACGAGCAATTAGAACACAGTTCCAATGACAAAGGCTGGTCCTCCGGATAGGAGATGAGTAATCAAGAATCCCTAACTACAAACCTTATCATCAAGTGGGGGTGATGCAAACATATACACAGATCACTACAAGGCAAGTCCAATGATCCTAAATCCTTTGTGAAAGAGAAAATTCAGTGTTAAATGAGTAAAAGACTTAAAGACTAATTCCTATCTATTTGGTTTGGGAAAAGCTTCAAAGAGTGATTGATTTTTTTTTTAATTGTTGGGAGTGGAATTTTACATCTGGAAGAACAAATAAAATTTACTTGATCTTCTAGATCAGGCCAAAACCCCACTGCACAGCCATCACAATGTATGTAACTGACAGGACCAAAGAAGTTCTCAGAAGTCCTGTAGAACCCCTTAATTTTTATGCAATTCCAGCCCTTTGAATTGTCACCACCATCACTTTTGGAGCACCTCCAGGTGTAGGGCACTGTGGCAAGTGCTGGTGATATTAACAGGGGAAAAAATTCCCTCAGGAAGGTGATAATCTAATAAAGGATATGGACATAAAAAGTGCTTAGGGGTACATTTTCCCCTCATCAAATTAAAAGATATATTTCTACAAAAACTTGTACATATTAGTGCAGCCTCATTCATATTAGTCAAAAAATGGAAATGTCTACCAATTGATTATGGATAAATAAAATGTGGTATGTCCATATAATGGAATATTATTTAGCTGCAAAAAGAAGTGAAGTACTGGTACATACGATAACATGGATGAACCATGAACACATTAGGCTAACTAAAAGAATCTAGACACAAAAGGCCACATGTTGTATGATTTCATTTGTATGAAATGTCCAGAATAGACAAATCCATCGAGACAGAAAGTGAAATAATGGTCGCCAAAGGAGACAATGGGGAGTGACTGCTCGTAGATACAGGGCTTCTTTTGTGGGTGTTGAAAATGTTTTGAAATTAGATTGTGGATGAAAAGGGGCCTCATGCTAACCTGACAAGCTCAGGGAAGGCCTTGCAAACTCAGAGACCTAAAATCACCATAAAGGATGGTCTGAAATTAAAACTTTTAAACTAAAAGCAGTTTATGGCAGGTAGTCATGTCCTAGGCTAGCATCTTCCCTGACAAGGGTCAATCTTTACTTTAACTAAGCTTGTCTATTGTCTTTCGCATCTAAAATAACATACCTTCAGAATGTCAGGGTAACTTCCCTTTTTCCAACCCCCTCAGAGCACAGCCAATGCACCAGAACAGAGACTATAAATGCTTTCTTTGTTACTTTTATCATGTTAATTGTTTAACAATCCTGTACTCACTTTTTAAAATGTGTACATGTCTATCATTTTACTTTGAATCCAATCCCAGAAGTTTCCCCCCACCTCTGCTTTCTCCTGCCTCCCTAATCTCTCACCAATGAATTTCATATAACCAACTTATGTCTTCTCTTCTGAGTGTAATGTATAAAATAAAGTGCAAACTGCCTTTCTCTGGAGCATTATCTCAACCCATTGAGATTTTGCTTCCCAGCAATTGTCAACAGTTTGGCTCAAATAAACTCACAAAAATTCTTCACAGGTTTGAATGTTTCTTGCATTGGCAAGATAGTGGTGATGGTTGTACCACTCTGTGGATACACTAAAAACCACTGAATTGTATTTGGTATATAAATTTTATGTCAATATAAAAACATTTTTAAAAATTCCCTCATAGCCTCTAAACTAGGGTAGGGAAATTGGATATCAAGGTATCACCCCAACCTTGGAGATTGGCTTCATTTATAGTTACTGACATAAGAGAAGAAGCAGTTTTCCTCACCGACTGATTCAGTAGACTTTTCTAAAACGTGACTTCATATGAAGATGGTAAAAGTATCCCCGTGTAAGAAACAATAGATTACCTAATTAACAATAGTCCTGAATTCCTTCCTAGGTGATCATTCTTATTACCATCAAATCTTAAAAGTACCTCAAGGACTTTGAGTCCTACTTTTATACTAAGGTGTAAATGACTATACGAAGAATAGAACAAAAGGATGACAAAAGAGGTCTAGAGGGCGCTCAGTGCCTAGTAGAGAAGGATGTGCAGAGCTAGGCTACAGAAAAAGAGGAAAGATACCAATAAATCATCAAAGACAAGTAACATATTTCTCAACTTATCAATAGCTAAGTAATATTGGCTAAGGTAGCCAAAAATTATAGTCCTTCCTCTAAAGCCCTCTTCTAATAACGGCAGAGGAAACATAACTGCTATTTTTGTTCAAAGTCATATTTAGGACGAGCAGGGTTTTCTTGTACTCTAAAGAAAGGTAGCTAACTTTTTGAACAATATTTTTTTGCCTTCTACGCTAATCCAATCCTGATTTCTCATAAACTGTCTTGCAACCGCATTATCTTGCCCCGCCCCCCCCACACAAATCACACAACTTCTTAACACTGTAGTGAAAAGGTTTTGCAAGGCCTACACAATGACCGAATTGTGAGGGTCAGTTAAGGAATCGGAATCTCTGGCAAATGAGCTAAGCAGAGGAGGAGGAGGATGGTTTGAACTAAAAAAGCGAGAGATTTATGAAACTGGTCTTCACCAGTCCCAGATGGCTAGCAAGATGCTGCCAGCTCAAATCAGCCTGGATGCTGTAATGCAGCTTTTCTTTAATTAATATCTCACACTTCCAAACTAAGTGGGTGAAATCACAGAGGACTCTGCCAGGATTCCTCTCGGCTTACACGAGCCAAACTTGAGCTGGGTTATGGATTTATTAGGCAGTGCTGTGAACGTGTTTAATGCAGTGTTTATTTACTGAGCCATATAAATAGATTTGACGGGAGTGTCACCATCAGTTCACAAAAGATGCTTCTCTTCATGTGGTCTGATGTTGGCTGTTAGGCATCTGCACATTATTCATTATCCTCAAAGCATTTTCCTATCCTTAACCACCCTTCCTACTGCAATCCTTCTCCCCCAATTTGCTGAATGTAGGTGACAATCCAGATCATCAAAACCCCCTCAGAATTGCCTGAGTAACTCTCTGTGATATAGGAATTACAGGAAAGAATAAAGCAAAGCACAGTGCTGTCAACACTTTTAATATAGTATTTGCTTACTTGTTGAACACTCGACCCATAAGGTCCAGCTCAAAAGTCATCCCTCTCTCTCTCTTTGCTTCCCCTTCTCAGGTGGAATCGATTGCTCCAGCCACGTCCCCACATCACTTTACATCTATTTTCTCTGAAGTGTGTAAATCTATTAAGGTTATTTATCAATAGATTGTGGACGCTTTGCAAGAAAAGCCATATTTTGATCACTTTATATGGTTGGGGTTAAGAGTGCTCAGAATAATAATAAATGCAGGTCAAAGTGAAATATTAGTTAAAATCTCACAGTGCAGGGCCTTCCCCAGAATGCAGCCACAGTGCCCAGAGTACAGCAA